GGACATTCATGCTATTCACATGGTATATGGATACCAATATTTACAGTGACGTATTTGGTAGTGCTAAGGGAATTAAGGGGTGACATGCCTCCCCCCCCCCCCCCCCCCCCCCGTCTAACGCAATATTCAATCTTTATTTCACACCCATTGCCTAGGCCCTTCCAGAACATAGTGGCTCTTGTGTTAAGTATATGAGGAAAGTGTTGTATTCCAGTGGATACGTCTCCGGACTAGGAACCAAAAGGTTTACGGTTCGAATCCTTGTCATAGCATTAATTTCATTTGGCAAGACATTTAATCTGCATGTGCCACACTTCACCAAAGTGAGGCAAATGGGTTTCTGATAGGAATTCATTCCTTAAAATGTTTGAGTGATTAAGTTCTAAATCCAGGGTAACAATGAAATACTAAAGGAGTGCCAGGAGTCAGAAATGGCTATGTGCCAGACATGAGCGCTATTTAAAGAGAAGGTTGAGTTATGGGAAGAGGTGAAAAATAATTTGTGAACTTTATCATTCTTATTATGCAAGTGTGGAAGAATATTCAAATAAGACACGTTCCCTGAAAACCATGGCTCTTCAAATGCCTTCATATTCTAAATATGTCATGTAACATGTAAAACTCGGGGGGGGGGGGGGGTTTACGCCACGTGTTCGTGTAGTCCCATATACATCTTTCCGTGTACAGTGTTTGTAACTTTAACAAGACTTGGCCAAATTTCTTATCATGTTGATGATTCCATAACCTTGCAATACACACAAATTCTTATATGCTAGATGATCGACCTTTTCTGGTCGATTCCACACCGTTTCTTTCACAATGCAATCGCATGACCAGAACTCAACTTCATCTTTAAGACTTTAATTATTATTACGAAAACACTCTAGTAGTCAACAATCCAATATAACGTGTTCCAGTTTCCCATTTGGAATGGCATGGCTAATTACGCTTTCATTGTCGCTTTTTAAGGTTTTTTTTTTTTTTCCTTCTTGTTTTCGAACATATTTACGACTCGTTCGCCGTTATACCTCGGCAATGTTTTCCTAGAGCTTTATCTCTGTGTGATAAAAATTCGCACAACAGAGAGTGTTCTTTCCGCCAGCATTTTTTGGAAAATGATTATCTTATGCGTCTACACGGCATATACAACAAACCAGCCACGAATAAACACATACACCTACAAACACAAAATGTAACCGTTTTAGGCAGTGCTATGCATAAACAGCAACGCATCCACAAATAATCACACACACCTACACACAAAAATGCAAACTTATTAGGCAATGTTATGCAGTCGATAGGGACTACCATTTACAAATAGTTAAATCCTACAAAGTGGTGAAGCCCCGCCCCGCAAGAAAATTCCCCTTACCATAAGAGATAACTGTTTATACAACTTTTCAAAATAGCAAGTATCGTCGAAGAAGACTGGGAGCACATCGCCAGGAATATGAGCAGCTGAAGGGCAGCCTGGAAGTAATTTAGGCGCCATAAGCTTTGAGAGCGACAAAATAGAAGTTTCAGAGGGGCGAATGCAGAAGAAGGCGTAGGCTGCAGCTGGCCGTAGCCCCCTGTTCAAGACTTTCCCTACTGTAAATGTGCGCAAGTCTGTTTTTTCGCGGATTGACCTGTTTAAGCATACTAAATCTTGCCATTAATGACCCCGCCTGGATTCCCATTGATGCTCGTACTCGAGGAAACAAACATTTATATTCATTCATTTATTTCTAATGTTTTGTCAGGGTAGCCCATTCACCAATAAGTAGTGGTCTCCCATGGGCCCTGAATAAACATGATCATTTTCACATCAAAGAGCATAGCGTTTATACAGAACAGTACATTTAGAAAGATATTACACAGCAATAATAGACGGACCATAAACGAATACTTGTTTGCAAAATAAACATATATCATCAAGCTAGTTCAACTGTAATGCCAATAGGAAAATAATGATTAAGTCGCAATTATGTGAATAAATCATGGTAATATTACAGAACATGCACGAAGTATATGTTCGGCTGAGCAATTCACAAATTACAACTTTGTTTAAATAATCTCTTAAATGAAATGACAGAGGAAGCCGTTCTCATCGAATTATCTAGCTTATTCCATTCAAATATATAATAAACAATTGAGCTACAATTATAACAATCAGTGTGAAATCTAAACATCCACTGTCATAATTTGTATAGAACCAAACAGAGCAGAAAAAAATTTATCTGCATTAAGCCGAAAGCGCTCGCCAATAAAGAAAGCGTGCTTTCCATTATTAATAGCAAGCAGAATTTGAAAGCTATATTACTGCGGGTTTACAATATAAAATATCTAAAAAGGGATCAAGTGTATTTGGAATAGGGAATTTTTGGGATATACACGTACACCAACCCCTATACTCATTCAAAAATACTTTTTTACGCTATGGTCCAAAGAACCGGCTTAAAACTGTATAAATTGTAATCAAATGGCCGATGAGGGCGAAAATACACAGTAGCAGTCAGTGTCGTTTATTTACAGAGAGAGAGTGGCCAACCTGATTTCGGTTGGTTACAACAAACCAACCCTTATCTCATATATTACAAAAAATCAGATCTGTTCCATTTTTTACAACAAAAAATCGAAACAAACAGACCAAAACTGGAGTCTTTTCCTTACTTTTGTGCTCGCCCAACGAAGTAGTGTCAGTATTCGCCATATTGCGCCCAAATCGAACCACGTTAGACAAACATGAACATAATACCACTCCAGTGACTGATTACAACCATGCATCGGCTATGGGTGCGAATGCTGCTGGTCTTTGTATTTTACCCTTAAAACCATAGTCAAGCAAATCATCATCTCGAGAGTCATCCGGGGCACCATTGTGCACCTGGTTGGTTGGCCGGATGTTAATGGTACTGCGCCACCAGCGTTGAGGTTGAAGAACCATGCGCATAGTCTCCTCGCGGTGCGCGTTGGCGTTCACCGTGTTATAACGCATGACACAGATGACCGTGATCACAATGACGGCCATGAGGAGAAGTGCAGCACTGGCGAAGATAAGAGTCAGTGTGGTGTCCGTCAATGATGCAGTTTCATCTTAAGAAAAAAAATGAAGAAGTGGAAAAAAGTATTACTTATAATTATTATTATATCCCACATACCAAGAATCTTGCAATCTGATTGGTCTAAACGAGGTCACATGATCAATGATTAATAAGTACTATCTCCCTGCGATAGGACTTTTGTACCATATTTTTTTGCTGCTGCCCCACTTGCCCATTGAATAAGCGTAGCAAGGTAGGTTACGCGAAATATCAATGTCAAATGAGCGCGCATCGACTGTATTACATATATGCGTGTTTGTCAAATCTAGCTGAAGCTACTGCAGAATACATTATTTTAATTATGTAAAATTCACTTTAAATAGACCTTATTGCCGATGTGGGATATAAAACAAATATTAACCTCCTTTACTCGGGCAATGTATACAAACTATCATCGCCTCAGTGATCTCGGGGCTACCACTACCCTCGTAGCCGATTAATGTTTGCTTCCTATTATATTCCACATACTGAGAATCTTGCTCTACGGTTGGTCAAAAGTAAATCACGTGATGAAAGATAGTTCGTCCATTATTTATGGGAGAAGCAAAAAGTTCGTTACACTGTGTAGATAGTACTACTATCTACACAGTGCAACGCACTTTCACTGAAGATAGAGGTACTATCTACACAGGGCAACGTACTTTCACTGAAGATTATCCAAAAGCGCACTAAAACAGGCGTAATTAAGCGCGGATTATCAATGAGCGCAATTAAAGCAAACACGTGCGCGCACCGTACCCTCAAGGGGTTGGGTTAAACTTTTAACTTTTTTGGTGTGAATTTTGGCCTGGTGTCTTTCATGTAGATGCATACACGTCCTTTTCTTTTTGTAGTTAAATTGTTTTAGATGTGGAATTTAAAGCAAATAATCACCTTTGGTTTCAGGCGATGGCAAACTATCACTTCCTCGTCGATCAGAATGTATACGCTATCTTTCCTCAGCTTCGCTTCGGAAAGATAGCTACATCCAGATCGCCTCGGAAGTGATAGTTTGTCCCATCACCTTCACCAACGGCAGTTTTTTGCCTACTATTACTATTGATGTACTATTACTGCGTTTGTATATAGCCTTCTTCATCGTTACTTTTATCATCACGGATACGATCGCAAATTCATTAGCCTTGAGCATCAATTTTTGAAATGAGCAAACATTACAATGCAATATAGGAAAGATAATAGGCCAATAAAACTTCCCTAAACTATATTTCTTGAAATAATTTCTGATCCTGTTACTACTATAAATATTGTTATCATTATCATCTTGTTCATCATCATCATTATAACATATCCATCTTACCTTCTGTTGCTTGGGTTACGTCTGTTAATTCCGTTGTATCTGGTTGTCTTTGAGTAGGCGGTTCCTGTAACGTTGGCGTTACCGGTGCTGGTACAGGTGCTGGTGCCGGTGCCGGTGCTGGTGCCGGTGCAGGTGCCGGTGCAGGTGCCGGTACCTCTACCACCACCACTACCGGTGCTGGTGCCGGTACCTCTACCACAACAACTACCGGTGCCGGTACAATAGGAGCCGGAGTATCTGGATCAGTTACCGGTGCCGGATTCTCTGGATCAGTTACCGGTGCCGGTGAACCTCCTCCGGTATTTGTTTCTTGTGAGCCACCTGTAGTTGAAGGTATCTGAAAATGTGTGATGCTTGTAGCCGAAGGTAAAGAAGAACCATTTGCCGGCGATCTAACTCCAGCTGAAGCCGTTGAGTACAGATCCATCGTCTTATTCGATGAAGACATTTCGGATGGCTCAAGCGAATGAGAAGACACAATCCCAAAGAGAGAAAAATTAGCCAAACTTGAAGCAGTATTGTTGTTTTTTTCGACTCCCGATGGCTCGACAGAACTTGATGTTTGTGATGCGTATGAAGGAGAGTCAATTGATCCAGGAGTTAGTGATATGACCGAATACTCAGAAGAGATCAACGTTGTCTGAATCACCGTCGATGTCCTATTGGTGGAAACACTTGTGGGGTAGGTCGTTTCGTTTCTTACGAAACTAGTCAGGCTCGAGAAGTTTAGGATTGAATTGTCCATGGTAGTTGTGAGTTGAGGGTATACACTTGCACTGAAGATAATATTCGTTGTATTTCCTGAAGGTTCCAAAAAACTTGATGCTGTCGCGTTTATAAGTAGGGTCATGTCAGGCGAGGTTGGATACAAAATCGGTTGAGAACTCACACCAGTTGTTGGTACGGCGACGGAGCTGATATTTATTTGTTCGGTTGTTGCTATGTCAGCGGCAACGCTGGTAAAGAGTGCCGTGGTAGGGATTGAAACCATACTCGATAATTCGCTTAGGCTAAAGGTTGCCTGAGCAGTTGTGACCCAGTTAGATGTACTGCTAGTAAGGGCTGTGGTTCCAGAGGCCGAGCCCGATTCGGGTGATTCAAGGAAAGCCAAGGTCGTTTGTTGCTTCGGTGCTATGTCAGATGCCGTGTTAGTAAACAATGAAGGTTGAAGCGACGACCCAGTTGCCGTTATTCCATGCCAACTTGATGCGTCCAGTGCAGATGATACTTCGTCAGATGCCGCGGTAGTAAACGATGAAGGCTGAAGCGACGACCCTGTCTCCGTTGGTTCATTCCAACTTGAGGTGTCCATTGTAGATGATGCTTCGTCATATGTCATGGTAGTAAACGGTGAAGCTTGCAGCGACGACTCTGTTGCCGTTGATTCATTCCAACTTGAGGTTTCTAGTGTAGATGATGCTTCGTCGGATAAAGTATTAACAGCCACGGCTGATCCCACTACGGATGTTTCACTCGAAGTCTGTGCAGTTTCTGATATACCAGATGTAGTACCTGTTAAAAGTGTACCATGAGGGGACGATCCGGTTCCCAATGGTTCCATGGAACTTAGGGTCGTCTGTGCCATTGTTACGATGTGAGATGCAGTGTAAGAGGAAAGTGTGGCGTTTTTAAGGATCGATCCCAGTACTGTAGTATTTGTAGAAAGTACACTCTGAGGGGATGATTCAGTTTCCGTGGGTTCCATGGAATACACGGTCGTTGTAGCAATTATTCCAGTGTGAGATACAGTGTTAGAGAAATGTGTGCTGCCAGGGGTCGATCCTATCACTAATGTTCCACCAAAGCCTGAGCCTGTTAGCGTAGTTGTAGATACGTCTGATGCAGTATTTATGACAAATGTAGGTTGAAGAGACGATCCCGTTCCCGATGGATCATACGAACTTGATGTTTGAGGAGTCACTACAGCTACTGAAGCGACTTCGGTTGTTGCCGAATGTGTTGATGACTCTGGCAGGGAAGATTCTAACGTAGCTACAACGTCAGATGTACTACTAGAAAATAGTGGAGATTGAAGGTCTGAATTTAGTTCCACTGTAGAGCTTCGAGGTTGAAGAGTTTGAGAGTTTAGCGATCCTGTTGGGTTGAAAGAGGTTTGAATAGATATATCTGCATCAGACACCAAAGAACTGGGGAAAAGTGTAGTCTTAAATGAAGCTCTCGTTCCGGAAGTTTCAATCAAACCTGTGGATGCCTGATTCGTTGACAGTGTATTAGAGGTAATACTTGGAATCAGAGTCATCTCAGAGCTGGATACCAGTCCTGTTGATATACCCGAACTTGTGGCTGCATTAGAGGATTCCGCTGAAGTCATGTAAGAGTTAGTCAACATGTCCGTCGATTCAAGCATGCTCGAATGCATCACGGTTGCAGCTACAATTAAAGATGTGCTACTCTGCAGAATGGTTGTTGAACCTAACGCGCCCTCTTCGGTTGACTCATCTGACCCTAAGGACAATGTTACACGGACAATTGTACTTGTAGGGACCACTGTAGAATCGGCTATGGTACCCGTTCCGGAAGATTCAAACCATGTTGACGTATCATGTAAGGTGACCTCTGGCAACTCTCTGTACAAACTGGATGAGGAGTCTGCCAATGTCGTTTGCGATTCCGGCGTGACTGTTACCGATGTCGCGCCACTTTGCGGAGTACTCGCATCCTGGAAACTGGTAGAGACATCACTGACAGAAGGTAGTGCATACACAAGGTTCGCGGAGATTAAAGAAAAGAGGATGATGTGTACAAGATATCTATGTAAGCTTCTTAAATGTACATCGGCCATGGTTCTTCAAAAGCTCTTGGTATTTCCGCACGGAGATCACTATATCGCTTTGGTTACTCACAACAACTCAACTGAAGTTAAGAAGACAGAATTCGTTTCGGTTATAGGATGCTTAGCTCGAGGCTAGCCAGGGTATTACTTCAAGAATCCTCGAATAAACAAGTTCGTCCTTTACCCGTAAGCTGATGATTTATTCTGTTTAGAGAAATCAATAGAATATGTCAGAATTGACAAAGAAAGTGCGGAGAAATGATATTATAAAAGGGGTCATATTTTTTCAAATATACATGTACCATTCACCTAAAAACGATTTTGTGTTTCGCAACAATGTATAAATCAACCTTTAAAATAATCCAAGGCATTATATATGGGCTAATGAATAAAGAGAATTAAAGAAAATTAGAAAAATATAATGGGTGGTATTCTCATGAGACTAAGTCCAGACTAAACAAGAATTCTAGTTCACACTTCTTTGAAATGCTAGGTTTCATCTTCCTCTTTCGATATTCATGACAAAGATAATCTACCAAAGACTTTGTTGAAATTCAGTTCATACTCATATTATCCTGTGGTTATTTTGTTTCAATATGTATAAATATATATTGAAACAAAATATCATATCGTTCCCAAATTATTTCAGATTTGATGACATTTTATAGTGATGTACATTTCGTGAATTATTTCGCAACCACTGTACCCGACGCAATGGCCCGATGATTGACAGGAAATAATAATTAGTCCGATGAAGACTGTCCTTCCATTACATATAAATCAATATTCATACATTTTTAAAGTAATTAGTGCTATGTATTACACAGTTGCCAACAAAGGTGGAACAATCTTGTTCACTAAAGTTCATGCAAGTATTGTCGCAACATGATTTATTCTCGATAGATAAGAATTATAAGTTCTCAGAAATCTACTGATCAATAAAGTTTGATCAATTAATTTTTATCATTAATGTTCTGAGAAAATATCGACTTTATCTGTAAAAAAAATCACATTGCCACAGTCATTTCATGGACAGAGTTAAGAAAGAGTTATTCCGACTTTATGGGACCAAATTTAAATGAAATACTTACTTCTTTCATCTGCAGTTGGAGTAAGTACCTAGTTGAAGCGATGATGACGACATATTTCATACAACATCTGAGAGTGATGCCAACTTACGTTTGTTGTGATATCAACATTGATTTGATAATCCGCCAAACATTTATAATTCGCCCTCCGCCCCGACGCGTGATTACCGAAGATATCGATTTTTCTGTTATATATGTACTAATGTATTTTTAGGAGCAACAAGTTCACACAATGACATACATATCCATTCTGTCCCCCTTTCCCTTTTCCTCTCGTTTTTTCTCTTTCTCTATCTCTCGCTGCTTGTACGTCTGTCTCTTTTTTACCCTTTAGTTTTATCTGTCTGTGTCCCGATTCCTCTCCCTTTCTTTTCATAATTGTTTATTAAACTATTCATATTGGTAAATTTTGACCTCTCTTCATTCGTATCATTCTTTTCTTACCCCTATGAAGCCTCTTTCTCTCTTTCATTATCTCATCTTCTCTCTTCTCTTTCGTTCTCTCCTCTCTCATTTTCTCTCTCTCCCTATCTAATTAAACCTCTCCACCTCCCTTTCTATTTCATTCTCTCCTGTTCTTCTTCTGTTTACCTTTCTCTTTCTACCTTTCCATCCTATTCCCTGCTTCATCTACTGAGCTCACTTTTCTTCTTCTTCCTTATCTCCTTCCTCTATACCTTCGTCTAGTACCTCCCCCTTTCTATCTCTTTCTCTCTCCAACTCTCGCCATCTTTCATCCCCCTTTGCATCCCCCTTTCCTGTTCATTCACTCCCTCTCCACCTCTCTACCTCTTTCTCTTTCTCTCTCATTCTTCTACTTTTTGATCCAACACCTGCAAAACCCTATCGATCGATTAAACGTCCAATACAACAGAATTGTAAACACAACTGAACCGCAAAGCCCCATGTCTATATCATCTCCCTACTACTTCATTTCACCCCTTTCCGATGCCTTAGGCCACAAAACCACGCAGAGTTGAGAAAATCTCATTTTTTTTTCATCTGCAACATAAAACAAAATTAAATTTCATTCATCTTAAAGTGTGTGAAAAATGAGAATTATCGAAAAAAAAAAAAAATTGATATGAAATCTCTTGAAACGTCAGACGAACACTTCGGTGACAGCTTGAGAAAATCTGGAAAATAAATTATAATATTTTTGGGAAAAAGAGATAACAATAATGAGATAGAAATTTGGGTATGTGACCAATGTATTTGATTTCATACCGATGGAATCCTACATGCGAAGCGTTGGCCTTGTACATTCCAAATTGAAAGACGCTTTTTAAGTGATAGAGTGTTCTATGAAACGTAAACGGGAAAAAATTTCTACGCAAAAAGGCATTATACATCACGACTGTATTGCCAATGAGAGATTTTCAAATAATCATTGATTGCATCTTTCAAATATTCACATTAACGTTTAAAATTATATATTTTTTAAAATCCGACTTTGGCTATAAAGCAATGGCCTCGCTGCTGTGAGGCCCCAGGATAAAAAACCGTGTCGATCAGCTACATCAGTGCCCTTCGTGAGGCATTAATCCTCATTACTGTCAGTTATGACTTAAGGACGTAGGTCCCCTAGTTGATTAGCATAGTAGCACACATATGCTTTAGTAGTCACGCAAAACAAGCACTAGCAAACTATTATTCAATCAAATCTAAAAATGTATACTATTATTTGGATCTTTTAGGAATAAATCATTGTCAAAATCATTCCATAAATTGGGTAAAAAATTGTTATTCCACCATTATGACCAACGTCGGAGATGTATTATTAAAGCGCTATATGAAAGCTGAATATTATTTATGACAACATATGATTTAAGACCTACAAAAAATAGATATTACTAAAGTAATCAGATACATTGACCCTCTTTGTTTCAAACCTCTGACTGCTAGTCTTCACGCATCGACGATCTAATGCATTAGCTCATCAATCGCCATAGATGGGTATAGAATAAACTTTTTAGAGCAGAGTTAATTAAAATTCCTTCATTACAATAGAATTCACCTCTAATCAATAATTAATCAATAGTTGATATATGTCTTATTGATTGAGATACTTGATAAACGCAGGGCAGCACCCCCGGCAATGTTATGATACCATAACTCAATCTTGGTTTATCGATTTTGTTTAGGCTCTGTTGAGCTTGATCGCTTTTGTATTTGTGAATAACAGAGCAGCGGTATATTTCTTTATAAACGGAGTATGTTCAAGTCCACGTCATAGTGTAACGTGGGTTACAAAATAAACATTCTAATATCATTTCATGGTACTACATTTAGTGAAATCCTCTTTTTTTTAAACACAACTTATCTTTAGCCGTGGCTAGAAAAGGGTATTTCGAAATCGTTCAATCAAGGATATCGTAATGGGTTTACATAATTATGGATCTAAAAGAATATCCCCCCCCCCCCCCTAACAAAAAAAAATCGGTTGAAGTATTACAGTTCGCTTGGAACATTTATGATATCGCATTTGACTATATTGATTGGCATTACATTTTGTAATTTCAATCATATTGATCAGAACGAATGTTCTTGAATCCCTCAGCTCCTTCAATCAAAGCTTATACTGCATGAGAAATAAGCTTGACGGGTTTTCTGGGGCACCTGCAAACGTGACGTGGTTTAGTGGATAAGCCATCAGACTGCAGATCACAAGGTACGGGGTTCAAATCCTGGTACGCTTGAGTGCTATTTTTGGCGGCTCGGCTGTAACCAGGGTTATATGTCCATGTCCCATACACGTCACTGCGTTAAGGATTTAAGCGCTTTATAAGAATTCGCTATTATTAGTAGTATTAGTATTATTAGTATTACCATGTCATTACTTCCCATATGTCATAAAGTACACGGCACATTCTTTTAATGTACATCTAATTTGAGGGGAATGTGAAAGGAAACTTTCATCATGATTTATATTTATATATTATATATATATCTGCTACAATATTACAGTCAATAGCAAACTTCATTCTGTTTAGTTCTTTATTGTTACTCTTTAAAGAGGGGCTGCAATACTTATAGCTACTTGCGCCCTCTATATGGCAAACATTTGATACGATAAACATCTATCAGTGACCACTCAGGGAGGTCTATTCCCTTCCATCCAAAAAGTGCAGATTGGCTTTAAAAAGAAAATTATCACAAACTCATACATACTGGTGATAAGTTATAATTGGTAATAAAATCAATAAAGGGGAGTGGGGAATTAACAGCCAAATGGTTATAATGATTTCCATTAAATACGAAACAAAAAATAAGAACATTTAAAGATAAAATTAAGGCAAAGTTTTCAAATCTGCTGCGAGCTCTCTCATCCATGTTTCTACCCGTGTGCTAGAATATCATAGCAGCAATGCCACATGGAAGGGATTACTCTTAAATTACCTTCATATTTGGAATGTAACTAGTTACAATTTTAAGGGGAGGATCAAATTT